AGATAATCCCAGAACTATTAATTCATACTCAGCTATTCATTGTTTCACTCTAACATTCTTGCACTGTGGGCATATCGTTCATAAACAGTCAATCAGGTTCGCTAAACCAAACAGAGAATAGCAGTAAAATTGAAACCTGAGGCCAAAATTCCTGAACATTTTTGGCCTTCAATTTACCATTCCCTTGTCTATAATTTACAATTCCTGTCACACATAAGTTAACAACATAACTTCTCTTTTCCATCTCATTTACCTTTTTTTCTCTGTTCCCATTCACCTTTATATTGTGTTGTCTCTATTTCCACACAGAAAGACAGTATCAGCTGTAGGAAAGCGATGCAATGTAGTGTCTTCATGTTGTTGAGGTAAACTGCTTCTGATTCTCTGAGAGAGTGTTTCACTCTTCAGGTGTATTTGGGAGGGTCACACTGCCACCTCCTCCCATTTATTGGCAAACATCATCTATCATTGTCATCTAAACAATGCAAAGATTGGGCACAATGCCACACAATTATGGAAAGAAACCACTCACCCTATTAGGTCCACCAAAGACAAATAGTTTTCTATACTAACTCTTCCACTTCTCAGCCACAGCAAAAACAATATGATCAAAAAGCACAATATGTGAATGAAACAAAACAGTCAGGTCCAGGCAATAAAAAATGGACTTGCGTAAATAGAACTGGAAAAAGATTTGAATAAAAATGGGAGGAAGGAAATTAAACAAAACTATTTCGTTATTAAAATAAGTATGTGTCAAAGGAAACCTGAATACCTGTTTTATAAAACGTATGGCTGGATGTCACCATACTACTGTATTAATTGTATATATATATATATATGTGTGTGTGTTTGCGTGTGTTTTTGAAAAACCATGTTTTCAAATGGTTCCTGAATAGAATCGCCAACAGCTTGCAATAATTTGAAAATCTGCATGATGGAATGGCCATCTTCCCGCAAAACAAGTTCACGTTAGAGTTAATGACTTACGGTACATTAAATGGGGAGAGGAAATGAGGTTTCAAAGAGAAAACCCACTCTTTCTTTATTTCTCCACTTTTCTACTTTTGTTTGAGGGGACCTCTCTTTAGCAGTAGGTCTATTTATAAAAATAAATAAATAAATAATAATATATTTTTTAATTATAGTACTTAATTAATCTTTCCTCCTATGACATCAAAACAGTAAAGACATTACAGTTTCATAGTGCCTTACCCCATAACTCCCATCACACATTATCTCCCATTTCAGTTCTCTACATTATTTTCCTTTTTTCTACCGGTTTCTTGTGCATAAAATCAGGATAATGTGTTTTAAGCATATTCAAAATATAAATGCATCAGATTGCTTCAAGTTTGGTGCTTTAAATTGGCAAGAACTGATTTATTTGGGCAACAAACCTTACACAAATATAGGGAAAGAGATGTAGTAGTCTAGCTTGGACAAAGTTCAGGAGTAAATGTGGTCTAACTGTGTAATGATTGAATGACTAACACAATAACAAGCATTAATGAGGAGAATACAACCCTACAAAATGGACAAATGGTGAATCCAGACAATCTAGAAACTTCTATAGTTTGCTCAGGTTAATTGATCACATTAATTACCTTTTGATGTTCAGAACCACTGCCACCAAAACAGTGAGAAGAGTAGAGGTTCCTCCTTCTTCTGACAAACATATGGGTGATAACATACACAATCTGCCACTGACGATGGCGTGTTGACACGCCAAAACGTGCGTTGGGTTCTTTGCACTTTTAGCTTTCCTTCCACTTTTTGGGTAGCACTTTTTATTATTTTCTGATGTTGATTTGGGTTTAATTATTTTACTCTAGGGCCAGTGGTTAGGTAGGCATTAGTAATATTTTTACTACAGTGCCTATGTATTTAGGGACTCTGGAGGTGGTTTATTTTCCCCTATTTCTACAAGTGGTTATTTATGTATATAAGGGGGTGACTATGGTGGCCTGGTAGGATGGCTTTTGCTATTTGTAGCTTTCCTCCCTTAGTTTTCCCCCCCACCCTTTGCGTTGTGACTTCCATACACTTCAGGAATTTTCCTTTTCTCCTTTCTCCCTTCCTTCTCATTATAGTTTACCTCAATTTACAGTCCCCTATAGAACTACAAATAGATCAAAATACCAGAAATCAAAGTAGTGACACACTGTGCTGAAGTCAAAAACAGAAAATACACACAAACTATGTGTATTTAAGGGTATCAGAGCCTAGACAGGGTACTGAACTAGTAGACCTAGGGAATTAAAACCTATAATGTGATCAATCTGTGACAATTCCACATCGCCAGAAAGAGCATGTGTAGATGAGGGTTTGATGCAGGAATGGTCAAGGGCAAAGTCTGAGTGAATGACATCTGTTTGTAGCGTCTAGTGTCTGTGTGACTTGAATAAGAGTGGAAAAGAAGTGAAGCGATGCCAGCATTACTGTTACAATTGGCACTACAAGAAAACAGAGAAGGATGCACAACGTTCTTCCAAATCAGTTAGTTGCTCAAATATAGCGTGCTGTTAATGTTTGATTTGACCATATGTTTATTAACATTTGGGGGTCCAGTTTTGTAATTTGTTTTAGTAATTTTTTAACTTGTACAAATTAAAGTGCACAGTTGATTTGTTTGTCAGGTATTTAGCTGAATAAATAAAGACCCAGTTCCAAAAGCAACTAACATACACAGCTTTATTTTTTAACTCAGGACTACCCCTAATGTGCATAACATTAAACTTGCGGTGACCCCTCAATTTTAATACAAATAACCAAATAATATCAGAAAACATACTGAAACATATATAATAACATAACAACATTTTCATAAAGGGGTGGGGAAGACAATAATTAACACAATAGCTATCCTGCCTGCAGAATCCACAATATGGAAATCCACCTGAATATGCAAATTAACAAGCCTTGCTATTCAGGTAGAGCATATAGCTGTTGCTACCAACAGATGGTGCTGTAGAGGCTCGACAGCTAAATCCACCTAATTGGTAGAAAGCATCATCAGGACAGGAGAGCATACAAAACATTTATAATAAACAACTATACACACCCTGTACCTATAATGGGCACAGAGTGAAGAAGACAAGAAGTTAAGGATCTGGGACCACTGCCTAGGATTCTGGGATTACACTTGTGTAGACCGTAGTCCCTTCCACCAATACAGAATAAATATCCTTCTCTTTAAGTATTTGTGGACAGAGGCCAGTGACACTCTGTCCCGATGCCAGTGCTTCTGCTGGCTGTGCGATGAGCTCCTCATTCTGCTGCTGGGGAGAGAGCCTGCTCAGCTCCTCTCCATGGTACATACTCGGTGTGACGGAGCTCCTGTACTCCAACCGAGTATGTCCACCCAGTCCGCTTCCTAGCCGCTTGCAGGAACCCTGGAACGCTTCAGCTCCAGTCGCCAAGGCTTGACTGGGGTCTCTCCGGAGCTCTATCACACAACCAGGCTGCAACCCTTCTTCCAGGCAGGGATTATCCCCTCTGCCTATTCCTCTGCAGCTTTCCTTCAAGGCAGGTATCGTCCCCTCTGCCTATTCCTATTCCTCTGGAGCTCTGCTTATAGTGCTTGCAGAAGAAGACTCTGTCACTGGGATCCCTAAAAATCCACACAGGACACAAGTTCCAAAAGGAACTAACATACATGTAACTTTTGGTGACAATTTTATAAAAATACAAATAATCAAAACATATCAGAAAACATACATGGAATTATAATAACACAATAACATATCTACAAAGGGGTAGGGAAGTCAATAACCAACACAAAATATCTCTCCTGCATGCAAAATTATCAATATGCAAATCTACCCAGATATGCAAATTGGCAAGCCTTGGTATTCAGGTAGTACATAAAGCTGTTGCTAGATCCTTGCAACCAACAGGTGGCAATCTGCTGCTGGGTAGGGAGACTTGCTAGCTCTACCTCCTGTCACTGTGCTGCCATCTGCTGCTGGGGAGGGAGGCAGAGTGCCTCTATCTCCTCTTGGAAGGTTGCCAGCTGCCGCTAGGGAGAAAGGCTGGCTACTTCCTCTCCCTGGAGTGTCTATTACTGCTGTGAAGCTAGTGAGGTGACCAGGGTCCCCATGCCAAAGGGTTGGGGATCCTGGTGGGCTGCCCAGCATCCCTGTAATTCAGATGTGAAAAATACAGTTCCCCCATCATCTACCTGGCCAAAAACCTGGGATGTAAAGTCTATTAAATCCCCAGTCACCTGTAATCCTGTTCAAACTCCCACTCCATGGTAACCAGATGGGTCAGATCCCTAGTGTCTCGGATGTCCAAGAGTCAAAACTCATCAGGACTTCCAAATTCAATACTATCCTCAAAGGCCTCCTATAATAAGCCATAGCCATCAGAGCCCTCAACCTCTGTAGGGTCGTCATCCATTAACCCTGGGTCATGCTGGACCACATACCGCTCTAAGGCCTGGTAAGAATTGTCCAGCCACAATTCTCTCTGGACCAGCTCCTCTAATTTGAACACCTGTTCTGCCAGGGGTTGCTCTCCCAAAAATGGTATCCGCAAACCAACTTGATTTCAAAATCACTGTATTATGGTTGGGAGGGATTCTCTCTGGAATACAAAAAATATCCTCGAGAACATTGTTTCAGAGTTCCCATCGGTTGGATCACACCCCACAGGTCCAGTTCACCTTCTGCCAAGACAGGGCCATCATACTTGGACAGAGCCTCCCGCATTCACCACTGGAACTCTTCTCCGGATGAGGACGAGTGTTAGCTCTATCCATATCTGGAAGATGTGTAGGAATCCCAGAGAGAAAGAGTTTATACAGTTACAGCAATAGTGACTACAATCACAGCCTCTTTACTTCTCCTTCTGCTAAAGACTCCTGTTTCACTAAAGCATCTTTGCTACCTTCACTGTTCACCAGATGGCATACAAATCTCACTGCTATTCCTCTCCAGGACTTACAAGCTATGCTAGTCTGCATGTGACCATTTGACCTCCTATACCAGGAGTAGGCAACTTTAGGCACTGTAGATGCAGACTACAACTCCCTGATGCTTTGGCAGCATTATGTTTGTAAGGACATTACGGGATATGTAGTCCAAAACATCTGGAGTGCTTAAGGTTGCCTACCCCAGTCCTATACAGTGTTATACCACGTAGGTATCCTGGACACTCTACTTTATCATTTATTTCTTGCCAAACTAAGGTTTATAAGGAGAGGCTACTTCATTTCTATTTGCATCAAGGGAGGTTGTGTAATATATACTGTATGTATTACTGTTTGCCATTATTATTCTATGACGATTACAGTTATTTATAACCAAGCTAATTCCACTGAGATTAGGCTCAATTGTCACAGTCTATGCCAAGAGTTATAAAACTTCATTTACTCTATAAAATATTATGTCCTTCAATTATTGCACAATATTACACCATCCCTACCAGGAATCGTGACAGACAGCAATGGCATGCATAAGTAGTTAAAGTACAGTACACGCATATGTCAGTGATGTGATCTTTGTAATCGAGCAGGTGAAACATGTTTAATGCGTAACAGGGACAATCTTTAGGACCCGATTTCCTCTTGTCATGGTAGTTTACCGTTTTCGAGAATCAGTCCACTGCCATCAGAATGACTGTGTTGTTTTCACAAGTAAGAATATCAGCAATAATGTCTATGGACAAACTGGATCAAGGTTTTTAAGTATAGGCAGCAGTAGGTGAAGTGTTTAATATACCTTTACCCCGCACAGGGTTTTCCAGTCTGTTAGGATAATTAAACTAAGGATGATCATTTGTCCACAATAGATGCAGAGGCCCACTTTTCTCCTGTACTGGTTTTCAGCCTCAGACAGCATGGTTAGACCCAACTGCATCGGCTCTGGAAGAGGAGACAAAGTGAATTCTGGTGTAACAAAATGAGATGCCAGCTTTTAGTGAGTTTTTTCAGTTTTTTTTCCTTTGTATTTTGTCTAAGTCCAAAGTGTTCATCTATGCATAAAAGATCAGTTATTAACATCTCAGTATCCTCTGGTAAGTTCCGAGCCACTACTTAATCAAGAACGGTATTAAACAACCCAATAAGGAACACTTTAACAAAGGCCTGATTACAACAGAGGATTAGTGCACAAATTAATGTTCACTAGACTTGTGCATGACAAAAACAATTACACAAACAAGAAGTAAAATATTATGTATATATTTAGCAGTGCATTGATATGAGCACCAATAGAGATAAAAAAGGAGGAGCATTAAAAATCTATATATTATGTATTTATTAAATTATTATAAATATTAGCATTAATATAGCACCAACAATTACTATCCTTTACAATTATAGAAAAAGGTGAGGCACGCCCTACTCAATTTAGGCTGCAACAAATGTATATGTTAAAGGATCACTATAGGGTCAGGAACACAAACATGTATGCCTGACCCTATAGTGTTAAAACCACCATCTAGCCACCCTGGGACGCTCATGCTTCCATAAATATAGTAAAAATCTTACTGTATTCAAATCTGAAGCTATAACTCTGCTTGTTGTTAGACAAAAAAAACAAGCAGTCTGCTGACATAATCAGAAATGGTAGCCTGATCCAATCACAGTGCTTCCCCATAGGATTGGCTGAGACTGACAAAGAGGCAGATCAGGGGCAGAGCCAGCATGATTCAAACACAGCCCTGGCCAATCAGCATCTCCTCATAGAGATGAATTGAATCAATTAATCTCTATGAGGAAAGTTCAGTGTTTGCATGCAGAGGGAAGAGATACTGAATGTTTGGAATGCATTTTAGGCAGCCATGACCCAGGAAGGATCTCTAACAGCCATCTGAGGAGTGGCCAGTGAAGTTATCACCAGGCTGTAATATAAACACTGCATTTTCTCTGAAAAGACAGTGTTTACAGGAAAAAGCCTGAAGGTAATGATTCTACTCACCAGAACAAATTCAACAAGCTATAGTTGTTCTGGTGAGAATAGTGTCACTTTAAGGCTTTGCCTGGAGTTGTGGGAGGGGCTTTTTATTAACTATAAAAGGGACTCCTACCTTTCCTACTGTGGGGATATTTATGGGATGATAATGTTGTATAGTTGAGAATTGCCCACTATTTAAATTCTCTTAGATCTTAGAGATTGTTATCATATAAGTGAAATGTATTCCATACAAATAAAATCACAATTTGTTATAAAAATAGATATAATTTATTGTGACAAATAAATAATAATATTAGGCAGCATGCATGATATTAATCAGTGAATATTTAGTATAACATAAGTATGCAATGTAATGGCTAGACACAGTACAAAGCTACAGCATCAACTGTCAAGACAAGATTAATGGGTACTTCTCAGACATAGAAACCAAAACTTCACACAGCCCAGCCATAAAACCTTGGCTAACAGTTAAATCAACTGAGTAACCCTTTCAATGCTGGCTAAAATAACATTCGAACCAGCCCATTAATCATTTCCTGGAACCATCCAATAAGAATAATCTACCAGATTTGTACAAAAGCCAAATTTTAATTTGCTTAAAAAGATATCTTATCTTATTTTAGAGCAAATCAATACACCTGGATAAAAACAGCGGTATTCTAACACGTGATACTATCACATTAATATATAATTATTCTTAATTCCACCTGCAGAAAGGAATGTTTATAACTACAGGGAGTGCAGAATTATTATGCAAATGAGTATTTTGACCACATCATCCTCTTTATGCATGTTGTCTTACTCCAAGCTGTATAGGCTCAAAAGCCTACTACCAATTAAGCATATTAGGTGATGTGCATCTCTGTAATGAGAAGGGGTGTGGTCTAATGACATCAACACCCTATATCAGGTGTGCATAATTATTAGGCAACTTCCTTTCCTTTGGCAAAATGGGTCAAAAGAAGGACTTGACAGGCTCAGAAAAGTCAAAAATAGTGAGATATCTTGCAGAGGGATGCAGCACTCTTAAAATTGCAAAGCTTCTGAAGCGTGATCATCGAACAATCAAGCGTTTCATTCAAAATAGTCAACAGGGTCGCAAGAAGCGTGTGGAAAAACCAAGGCGCAAAATAACTGCCCATGAACTGAGAAAAGTCAAGCGTGCAGCTGCCACGATGCCACTTGCCACCAGTTTGGCCATATTTCAGAGCTGCAACATCACTGGAGTGCCCAAAAGCACAAGGTGTGCAATACTCAGAGACATGGCCAAGGTAAGAAAGGCTGAAAGACGACCACCACTGAACAAGACACACAAGCTGAAACGTCAAGACTGGGCCAAGAAATATCTCAAGACTGATTTTTCTAAGGTTTTATGGACTGATGAAATGAGAGTGAGTCTTGATGGGCCAGATGGATGGGCCCGTGGCTGGATTGGTAAAGGGCAGAGAGCTCCAGTCCGACTCAGACGCCAGCAAGGTGGAGGTGGAGTACTGGTTTGGGCTGGTATCATCAAAAATGAGCTTGTGGGGCCTTTTCGGGTTGAGGATGGAGTCAAGATCAACTCCCAGTCCTACTGCCAGTTCCTGGAAGACACCTTCTTCAAGCAGTGGTACAGGAAGAAGTCTGCATCCTTCAAGAAAAACATGATTTTCATGCAGGACAATGCTCCATCACACGCGTCCAAGTACTCCACAGCGTGGCTGGCAAGAAAGGGTATAAAAGAAGAAAATCTAATGACATGGCCTCCTTGTTCACCTGATCTGAACCCCATTGAGAACCTGTGGTCCATCATCAAATGTGAGATTTACAAGGAGGGAAAACAGTACACCTCTCTGAACAGTGTCTGGGAGGCTGTGGTTGCTGCTGCACGCAATGTTGATGGTGAACAGATCAAAACACTGACAGAATCCATGGATGGCAGGCTTTTGAGTGTCCTTGCAAAGAAAGGTGGCTATATTGGTCACTGATTTGTTTTTGTTTTGTTTTTGAATGTCAGAAATGTATATTTGTGAATGTTGAGATGTTATATTGGTTTCACTGGTAATAATAAATAATTGAAATGGGTATATATTTGTTTTTTGTTAAGTTGCCTAATAATTATGCACAGTAATAGTCACCTGCACACACAGATATCCCCCTAACATAGCTATAACTAAAAACAAACTAAAAACTACTTCCAAAAATATTCAGCTTTGATATTAATGAGTTTTTTGGGTTCATTGAGAACATGGTTGTTGTTCAATAATAAAATTAATCCTCAAAAATACAACTTGCCTAATAATTCTGCACTCCCTGTATATATTCTTTAGTTAACTAAGATTTCTAATTATTGAAATCTGACCGTGATTTATCCAGTCATATATCATGCTATTAGATTTTATTTAATTTAGATTAATTAAATAAAACTAGTATAATTACCAGTTATGTATATTTTCTCATCATATGAGTAGGTAGTCCCAGGAACTTGATGCGAGTATGATTGGTTATATGGAGGTGTGTAAGTAATAGAGAAAAGTGATGTTGGTTAGAAAGTATCAGTAAAATTCTAAGTGTCAAGGAGTGTTTCTTGAGTTGTGTCCAAGAGAGTTTGAGGGTTAGTGCCAGGAACTTGAATATCTGTCCTGGATCTCTCTGAATGTCCAAATCTGAATGCCCAAACTAACCTCCTCTCTTCCCTTTGTCCTAACTTTTAAAGGGCCAGACTCTCTGTACGTCATTAGTTGATAAGGCCAATAGGATACTGAAGGTGTGGTCAACCTGCAGATCGCAATTTAGATTATTCGTCCATAGAGGGCAGTCTTGCCTCACTAAACCTTCCTATCCAGGAAAGAGTTAACTTTTCCTGATGACAATTTTGACGTCATTTGGCTTATCTAAAATGACTACCATAACTTAAATTTGCTGTCAGTTCAAAGCGTTTGCCTCAGTCTTTGTGGCAACTACTTTGACCGTAATTTCTAAAATTGACAGTTCTAAACTCAATTTCACCTCTTACTTACAATGGGACCTTGTAAAATTTAGAAAGTAAAATTAATTACTTAGTCTTCTCTGTCACTAGTGTCTGTGTTTAAAATTACTTCTATTCCATTAACATTTAAACAGAGCTTTCCATCCCCCTGCTTCATTGCTTATCACTTGGCTTGTTTACATAATGCATTCCTTAGCTCAGGCTAGTGGCTATTTACAGAGAGGAAAGACATTTTTGTGTCTGTCTTGCCTGAAATCCAAAATGGAGTCCGCTCTGTTCTGAGTGACTCTGGCAATATACACTTTTAATTTCTATCTTAGCACAAAATGTCTGCCGATATAAAT